CAACAACAACAACAACAACAACAACAGCAGCAGCAGCAGCAGCAGCAGCAACAACAACAACAACAACAACAACAACAGCAGCAGCAGCAGCAACAGCAGCAACATCATCACCATCATCATTATCATCAACACCAGCAGCATCATCAACAATCGGGCAATCAAAGTCAAACTGTTTCTAGTCCCGGCAGTATTGCGATACCTGTATCGTCATCGTCTATCACTGGAATTGGATTAACGCCGTCGTCTACAGCGACAGTCGTAACGTCTGGCGTAACTTCCGCCGGAGTGGCCAGTCAAAATGCGGTTGCCGCTACACTGTCAGACGATGTAGGTTAGTAACAATATCTGTAACTATTAACACTTTGTTCGGTTTATAACTCTAGAAGAGTACTTGTGCTCGTCCAGTATGAACTGACACGAAGAAGCAGGTACTCGTACGCGAAAGTAAATTCCGATTGAAGGTGTATCGCGAGAACGAAATAGGAAATATGGAACTACAGAGTGAAAGTTAAATGGAAGAAGATGGTAAAAAAATGAAGGACAATCAGACTATACGTAATACAATGCAATAAAATACACAACAAGTTACCTTATGGAGTACAGAGGAGAGCGTATGACGTAAGGAAACAGTTGCCAAACGAAAGCAAAAATGGGTCGGGGTAAACGGTGCGCGTATGTCCTATAATATAAGGAAACATAGACCCGGGTGCGAGGAAAACACGCGTACGTACACGTACACGTACATGCACATGCACATGCACACACATACCACAGTATAGATACGTCAGTGTCAAAATACGGTTATATATTTGAGAACGTTTATGATACGAGCGCTCTTCGACGCAGCCGTATTGGATCAATACGACGATGTACGTACCGGGATAACTATGTCCTTGACCGGTGAGTCTCCAATTGGCGTACCAGTAGAACAAGGTGTTACATATTCGGCGTAATCGACACACTTTACGTTAGTGGTCGATAACCTTTTCGAAATTCATGTAATTTCAACTTGCTGTTGCAACCGTGAGATACGTTTCTTTTTCAATTTCAGATTTCAATGTAAATGAAAGACACGATATGTACATCTTTCTTCTTTACGTGGAATTGAAGCGTTATCGATACTTGGCCCTCCGCCGCCAATACGGTTTTTCTCGAACGTGGTCGGTGATATGGTCGATTAAAGAAACAGCAGAGGGTATTTTATTCTGTTAGAATTTTGAATTGTATTAGTCTGGGGGAAGAACAGTATTTGGAGAAAAATCCACAGAACAGCCGATTCCTTTTTGGGAAACATATCGCGTTAACGGATGTTTTTGTCGCATAGCCCGTTAACCAAAGATTGCTCCTTTATTTATTCTAGAAAATGTTGCGAGCGATGGAAGTGGTACCGCCAATACAAGTTCTCCCGGAAACAAGAGACGCGTCTTCAGCGGGTAAGTGCAACGAAAGAATAGAAATTCGATGGGAAGAATCTAAGAGGAATTGATCATGCTTGTTCTTTACACTGCCGCAGGCGAAAGTGGCTACCTCCGCCATTGCGTAAACTCAGCCATGGTAAGGTTGAGAAATCAACTAACGTCACACCGTCAGCGTCGGCATCGGCATCGCCGTCGACCACGGTCGCACTTGCACCTTCGGCTGACCGTTCAAACGCAAAGAAAAACGTTTCGGAAAAACGCTTCAAGTTACCTAGCGGTGCAGATCAGACGCGGACGTCGAGATCCGCCACGCCGATATCTCTGGCATCTGCGGCCACATCGATGCACGTCTCCACTTCGGTTTCCGACGTAGACATTCAAGCCGAAGTCGACGCCGATGAAGACGAAGAGGGAGAAAATGAACAATCCTCCGAGCTGGAAAAGGGTACACCAGAGCCCGACGACGCCGAGGCTTTGACTTATTCGGAACAAAACGGCGCAGACGACGTCGAGGACGATTTGGAACTTCCACCGCCCATGAAACCTATCACTGATTCAATTTTGGTGGGAACGACAAATGGATCTTCTGGAACTGCGATTCCAACGGAAAGCTGTGGAAAATCTCGCGTATGTCTATTTCCTTCTGATTTGTTCATTTATAAGTATCGATTCTAGACATTACGAATGTTTTTGTTCTCCCGTAGGCGTCCGAGCGGTCCACAAAGATTTTGGACGGCGCTACAACGGTCGATTTAGCTGAAATCGAACAAATCGTCAAGGAGAGAATGGTAAGTTTGATGAAATTTCTGAATGGAATATCCGTATAATGGAGAATGGTACGGCGATAGGAACAACATACGGAGAATCAAGAGAGACAAAGTCTTCTGCGAACACCCAGCGGTAAGAGTTCGGGTATTGGTGTGGTCGACGAGGATGTTTACAACGACGATTCGGTGTCCGCGACAGAGGCTGTTACCCCCTCTACGGCGACAGTAGCTACGGCCGCAGCAGCTGCAGCACCCACGACGGCTACGATGACATCAACGGCGGCGGGTTCGACGACAACCAGTGATCCGACTCGCGTATCTACAGAGGAGTCCGAAGCTGAGAGCAAGATTCTGGCAAAGCGGCAGTTCGTGATACGAGAACTAGTGGACACGGAAAAGGATTACGTGAACGATCTCGGAGAAATAGTCGACGGTTATATGTCGTTGATGCGAGACGCCGAATGTGAAATTCCTCTGCCAGAAGATTTGCGTGGTGGAAAAGATAAAATGGTGTTTGGCAACATAGAAGCAATCTACGAGTGGCACAGAGAGTGAGTAGTTTCTCGTTGATTTTGTCTAGCGGTAGAAGCAATTGATGCTTCTCAGACTAATTCCATGTTTTGCCGGTCACGCGAACAGCTTCTTCTTGAAAGCGTTGGAACGTTGCCTGGAACGGCCAGAAGAACTTGGCCCACTTTTCAAAAGATACGAAAGGAAGTTACACATGTATGTTGTTTATTGCCAGAACAAACCTGTTTCCGAGTACATTGTTTCCGAGTACATCGACACATACTTCGAGGTACGTCTGTGCATTTTTTCGAGCTGTTTGAACGTACCGTAGACTGAAACTCGCAGTAAACAAGAATCGCTTGGTGCTTCGGTGCAGGAACTAAGACAGAAGCTTGGTCATCGATTGCAGCTGTGCGATCTTTTAATAAAACCCGTACAAAGAATCACCAAGTACCAGCTTCTTCTTAAAGACGCGTTGAGGCTTACCGAACGAACACAAAGGAACTCGGAAATCGAAGCTCTGAGTGCCGCGGTTCATGTGATGCGAGTAATTCCAAAGGCGGCCAACGACATGATGGACGTAGGAAGATTGCAAGGTTTCGACGTAAGCGACTTACCTTACCCCCGACGAGGAAACGGACCCGTTCTCGTCCGAACTTGGTGACCATCTCGGTCTGTGTTTGTTGCAGGGAAAGATCACGGCACAGGGAAAGTTGTTGCTACACGGTCCTCTTCTGGTATCGGAGCTGTCGAATCTCTCCAGTAGAGGAAGGGAGTGGCAGGTTTTTCTGTTCGAGCAAAACATCATTTTTAGCGAGGCTGTTGGCAAAAAGACACAGTTTACAAATCCAGCCTACATTTATAAAGCTCATATTCAGGTAAGAAGTTTCCAGAAAGTTTGCAGAGTTTCGTACATTCTATCGTTCAGGTTCGTGTTTGGATTTTCAAATAGATTTTCAAATAGAAGATATCGTGAAAGTAATGCGTGTAAACGGAAAAGAAAAGTCGCGCGGCACACGTATAGAGTAAAGATACTTGTAATGTACATGGATCGTTTGGTTTCGTACAGGTGAATAAAATGAGTCTGGAAGAATGCTACGACGACCCGGAAAAGTTTGAGATTCGATCAACGGACCGTCGGAAACCTAGCCTCAGATTCTTTTGCAGTGCCCTCGAGGAAAATGGGCCACGAAAGCAGGAATGGGTAGAAACGATCACTGCCATCCTGCAGACCCAACGCGACTTTCTCAAGGCGATACAGTCGCCGATTGCCTACCAAAAGGAACTTACCAAAGATCCACTGTAAGCGTCTCTCTATCTAATTCACACAACATTGCATTGATTCTCTTTCAACGCTCGACCTGTGAAGATTCGTTCCGACATATTTTTGTATATTTTATATAAAAGAAGATACAGAAGCGCTGTATGCTAAAGAACCGTAGACGTCCCTTGAAACACAGTCGGTTTGTTTCTCTGTTTTCCTTTCCTTTCGTTCTTATCGTACCACCGTTTGTTCTCTAATCACAATACACGTACATTATTCTCCGCCGTATTGCGCGAAGTGCTTCCTCTTGTTTGCCTTAACATCGCAGTCTGAGAATCTCTACCTCGCTACTGCTATGGAGTGGCTTCATCGCGAGAGCGTCTTTCACTATACACTCGATGGCTTCCTATGTATCGCTCGTTGTTTGGAAGACGACTAGCGGAAGGAATGCGGGTCTGAGTGCTCGAAATCTAATGTGTTTTCGGCTCTGGTGCGCTAACCATCCCGCTAACTACCTTTCAAACAGCGGAAGGTACCTGCCTCCTCTTTCAATCATTTTCTGGACGTTCCTTCAACCGAGCTTGCTACGGTTCACCGACACACGATTATTTACGATACGATGTAGTACACTTACACTACCCCTACCATACAGAAGCATACGACACGACGCGACGCGACGCGACGCGATGCGACGCGACGCGACACGACACATGAGACGATACGCTACGTAAAACTACGCTACAGTGCGATGCGATGCCATGCAATAAAATGCAACTCGATGCAAACCAAATGAACTCTGTCACTCCTCGACTATGTGTTTACACACCTGTGCAGGCGGGGGTAGGTATAACAATGTATGTATATTCTCACTCACACCAATTCCACCCTCTTCACTATTCCTGTATGTCTCTTGTTTGAAGGAAAAGAAAAAGATGGAAGAGCGTGTCTGCTGCATGTTTCCGCATTGGTGCGTTATGTATCTGTGGTGTGAGTCTGCATGTATTTTACGCGTGCGTGCGTTACGAATACGTGCGTCCGTGTATAAATACATGTTGTATGTTAGTGTACTTGTGTGTGGGACCGCGCGACGGTGAGGGGTGGAGTAATACACAATGACCTCGATAAAAGATTAATTAGAAGAAAGTGTAACAATGAAATACAACGAACACAACGTCAAAATTCATACTCTTGCCAAAATTACTACTCATTTGTTAACACTTTTATTCGTCGATTCAAGTTAAAGAATACAATGATAGCATTATTCACGCTATACCATGCTTACTAACGCGTCTAACGAAACGCTCGTACGTGCGTGTATGAAACGGGCCTGTGTACATCGCTGAGTATAGTTCAGGTGCTATTCCACCCCCCACAAGCACATACATTACCTATTAACGACTTAACGTTGCAAGTGTATAATACTTTTAATAATGTTTATATAATACAAGGTGGAAGAAGTTGGGGATAGTATGCTGTACATAGATGTGCATTCACAGAAGACGATATAAACTAAAACTAATGATTCGCGAGACGTAAACATTTTGTTTAGAATAAATTGTACATTGATCAACATTCTGGTGTGATGCGTCCTTGTCCTGCGCCCACCTAGCAAACCTACTTACCTTTCGTTCGACTAACAGCTTGTTTCTTTTATTATTTATGGAAACACGGTACTGCGTCGATGATTTACAACCATACAAGCTCAAATTGTTCCGAATGTATTTGTCGGCACACGTATTTTCCTAGTAAACTAACATACTCGATGTAGGGGATCGGATGGATAGAGTCACACGCACGCACACACACGTACACTCTGGTTTTGGGTGACCTGTATTCTTACATTGGTCCGCTCGCGCTTGAATGACGAGTCGACTAAACGTGCGACCGATATTTAGGTACATAACGATTAACATTTTACCAATAATGGGTTACAACAGCTTGGGACCGTAACTATTGTACGCTCAAGTGTGAATATTCAACAGAATTCTTTCGTCCGACCTACTGAAACGTTTAAGCTGTTGCAACTCGTTGAGACGCGTATTGACAGACTTGGTACGAACAAGACCGAAAATCAGACAATCCGAGTATTCGATCGAGCTACAAATAAGATACTTGTTGCATACGAGGCACACGTGTTCATAGATGCAGTACCGTGTTTGAATTTCATTTATAATTTGCTGGCGTGCAGTCGTGGCGTGAGTCCGGAATCTCCGTGTCGAGGAAGCGTTCTTTCATCGGTTTCATCGACGATACCGCCTCAGTGTACGGCGAAAACAACGGAGGAAGAAAAGAACCAAGTCTCTGCTGTTTCTGTCTCTCCGTCTGTTTCTGGTGCGAAAACATTGGTAGCGGCGATAATGACATCCGCAGCGACAGCGACAGCAACCGCAACAGCAACAGCAGCAGCAGCAACCACGACAACCACGCTTCTACAACGATCTCGTGGCAGCGGCTTGACCGACGAATCTTCGCGGACGCCGAGTCCCACCAAGAGCAGACTACATTTTCTCGAAGGCTTTAGAAGCACGCTACGACCACGATCGCCTGTTCGCAACAATTCTATTCCGGTAAGCAACAACAATCTACGGATTCAAGTTGAAAATATTTACATTCACAAATCTGTTTGCTTATTCGTAATTAGAACTCTTGCATATTGCAGCAAAAGGATTCTTCTTTCTCTACTTCTTGATGCCTGCTGCTATTCCCTCTCTATCGTGTAACTTTTCGTTGGTGCAGCGATAAGTTTTCTCATTTTTGTCATTGAAAGATCGGAGAGATGACGCGACGCGCTTCTTTACCGAACAAGTTTGTATCTTTCCGCCAAGAGTCGCCAAACTATGCACATATCGTAACAACTCTAGACACTCGACCAACACTTTCCGTCGTTAGTGCAATCGTATTTTCACTCTCAACTAGAAGTAGTATGTACGATTCCGTGATTATCGTATCTCATATGCTGTATGTTATGTACCAGAGGATGTACATATGTATATACATATACATATTATGTACATACCTTCCTTTTTCCGTTACTGCTACTATTATAGTTGTCGTTATCATCGTCGTCATCGTCGTCATCGTTGTAGTGGTCGTAGTTGTCGGCGTTACCGTTCGTTGCCACCACCGTCGCCGTCGCCGTCGTCGTCGCCGACGTCAGTATCAAAAACGTCCTTGCTACTGCCACCGCCGCCGTCTTCGTCGTTATCGTTATCATTCCACTATAAACAGCATTCCGTTATCGTCAGTTTTGTATCGTGAAATCCTTTTAAAGACATACGTGACATTACAGGTGTTATTAGTGCTGTCCATCAATGTTGCTGTACACTGATATTTCCTTGTTCGTCTCTTTTCTTCTCTCTTTTTTCCTCTCTCTCTCTCTCTCTCTCTCTCTCTCTCTCTCTCTCTCTCTCTCTCTCTCTCTGTCTGTCTCTTCTTTAATCCCTTGCCTTCTCTACCTATCTATCTCTGTCGTTTCTTTTAGATTAGCACACTTTGTTGCTTTTTCTTTCCCTGGTCAATGAATCGCTCTACCGTATTGATGTAGTTGCGTTGCTAATCGGCGTGAACGTGTGCAAAATATGGATATCGCGTTAGAGAAGCTTTGGGGGGTTGAAGGAAATCGAAAGACGGGGAATAGCTCTCGGTGAGTTGGACGAATTTGGATGAAGCGCGCGCGCGACGAGTATCGAGAACAAGCCGGTGCATGCATAGCTGAAAGAAGAAAGAGATCGGCGCACTGTTAATAGGTAGATTCCGCAGATCGTTCCAGGTAGCAGAGTGAGGTTGACCGCGGATTGGGGAAAGTTGCATGCTGGAGAAGAGCTGGAGATCTTTCGATTGGATGGTCCAGGCTTGATCGTGTCTCCAGTGGTCGGAAAGAAGGAAGAATTTTGGATTCCGGCGAGTCTTGTTCCGAATTCGTCTATCAGCCGCGCATGGTCTTTTCGTCCGCGAAGAATCGATTCCGACGGAGAGAATGTCCATGTTCCGCGAGAAGTGGCCGCGGAAGAAAACGGTCCTCCCGCGATCTTGACTATTCCGTGTTCGATCAGGGCGACGGCCGGTGGCGTGGCTCGACTTGTACTGGAAGTTCGTCACGCGGAACGAGCGATTGTTTCTTGGAAAAAGGAGGGACAACGATGCGACATCGAGAGAAGCGAGCGATATCGACTTTTTCAAACGGCCGATTCTCTTTCTCTCGAAATTGTTCCTTGCCTGCCCTCCGATTCCGGAATTTACCATTGCCGCGTCGACCACGAAACCGGTTCTTGTTCGGCGAAAATTCCTCTCCGCGTTGTGGGTACGTTGTCCGTGGCACGTGTTGTATGCGCTACACGCGTTCAGTAATACCATAGAAACCCAACCGATTGTGTTTTCTCGTAAAAACCGTAACCGATCGATCTTGTAGGTATTGGACCAAACACTTGGAATGTCGCGAACGAAAACATCTCCCCCTCTCAGTCCGCTGACTCGGCCGACAACGAGTCGTCGATGATCCTCGACGATGCCATGCTCGTCCATCCCGTAAAGAGTTCATCCTCGAACAACGCGGAGACGATGGGTCGGGAAGCAACAGCGGTGGATGCAGCATGGTTCACCGAGACGTACGTAGATCTAAAAGAAGTAGGACACGGTAGGTTTGCGAAAGTTTACCGAGCGAAGGATCAAGGAACAGGTCGGAAAGTGGCGCTCAAACAAATATCTCGACTGAAGCAGTCGCGCTTCTTGACGCGAGCAGAGTACGATCTGCTGCGAGTCTCTCGTCACGACAACATCGTCCGAGCGTATGCTTTGTTCGAGGAGGTGCCCCAACCGGACACCGATACCATAGTTTTAGAGCTGTGAGTATACACCTCTTCTCCCTCCTTGCTCGCCCTCGACATTTTCATTTTTCATTCTCTTACGAGATTCGTTTCATTGACGTTCTGCTCGTTCGTAGAGTGAACGGTCCGACGTTGTTCGCGTATCTGGCTGGTAAGGACGAATACACGGAGGGAACCGTTTCGAAGTATACCGGTCAGTTGTTGTCGGCGCTATGGTGGTTACATTCGCGAAAACGAGCTCATTTGGACTTGAAACCGGAAAACGTTCTAACCGATCGAGACAAAGATGCCATCAAGTTGATCGATTTCGGCGAAGCTGTAAGAACAGCGCCGTTGGACCATGTGGTTCCTCCGGTCGATTTGGAATTTGCGGCTCCAGAATCTGTCCTTGGCAAACCGATGGGCCCTTATACGGATATGTGGGCTGCTGGAGTTTTCATTTACGTGCTTTTAAGGTACTGTGGCATCGTCGGTTTGTTCTCGTCCTCTTCGGCGTGCCGAGTCCGAAGCGATTGCCTGGTCAATACCCGAAGAACGTCTTTCATTTTATTTCGTTGCAGTGGACTCTCGCCGTTTTTGGATGACTCTATCGAGGAGACTACCACGAACATACTGAAATGTGACTTTTGTTTCCCCGAAGAGTATTTCATCAAAATATCGAGTGACGCGAAAGATCTTCTCAGAGGGTTGTTGTGTTTGCGCGGAGAAGAAAGAGCAACTGCCCGAGCCTGTTTGTCGTCGCCTTGGTTTCAGGTAACCGACATGCATATTATACCTTTTCTCCTAACTCGATTTATCGTAGCACTTGTTTTCCTCGAGCATACATGTTTCTCGTTTTCGTTGCAGGTATCTAACGGCACGATAATCCCTTCTTCTCGAATGGCCGCGTTCATCGAACGACGCGCGCATCGCTCGAAATCTCGTCAGGATAGGAATAGTAGCTTTTACTCGTGAAGCTAAGCGATTCTCCCAAAACACACTATATATTTATTAATGGACAACATTACAAGTTTTTCGTCCAATATCCAGGCCGACTGTAAATAAATCGGAACTTGCACTGTCGCGTTCGCGAGCATTCGGTATTGCTATCGCATGCAATACGTATCTGAATGTGTATGTGGTATGTGGTATGTGGTATGTGGTATGCGGTGTGCGGTATGTAGTATGCGTATGCGTATGCGTATGTGTGCATTAAACCAAGTTCCTCAAATTTTTCTGCTATACGAAATGAAGCGAGCATCGACTATTCGTTTACGCGTGAAAGGTAGTTCCATTAACGCGCAAAGTTATTGGGTAGATTGCGTGTTGTAATACGGATACCAAGTTATCCGCTCCGATGAAACGGCTCGGTTTCGTGAAATTTCATATAGTAGGAAATTTTGAAGGGTCGGTGTAACGCAGAAACGTACGTGAACGCGAACAATGTACTTAGCCGGTAATTTTGTTAGTCAAATCATTTTTGTATCTCGATTCTCGATTCCCGTCTATCGCTGTACAAACGGCGAATCGCGGAAGATGACATGTCGCGACAATGACGAGTCGAAATAAACAACACCACCATCGCACAATGCCTTGTTTGATTCTACGACGGTGACATTCTAGGTCTTTTGCTATGGTCGACCGCGTGTTGTTCGTAATCTTCCGGCGAAGAGAAAGATTTCTTGCCACACACCAAACACGTCGCGTCCTTTCTCTTGTTCGACCGACAATGCGTTCGATCGCCACTAGCCTCCATCGTGTCTTCCGTAATTTCGTTGCAGTTCGAACATTTCGCGTGTTCTCTGTCGTCCAGTATACGCTCCTCGGCACTGACCACCACACTCGTGTTCGACGCGTTTTCCGCGTTGTTTAAGCTTGCAACGGTATCGTCGCTGGAATTCGATTTAGAGGTAAGTACGGTTGTATTCGAAGACGTAGTGGCCACAGAGACTTCTCGGTCTGGATCCGATGGAAACGGTTTCGAGGGTGCAACGGATTCGTTCGTCGTTGTTCCTCCTTTCGTGTTTCTCGGGTCCAACTGAAAGGATGTATCCGAGCTTTTGGTATGACCCGACACATGCTCTACCAGATCTTGTTTCGACGAGAGCACCACGCCACACGAGTCGCAAGAATAATATGAACGTTCCGATAATTGACACTTGTTCACGTGCTCCCTGAGAACTCTCTTCTCGAGAAATTCTACTTTACAATGCTCGCAGCGATATCGCCTCTGTCCATGACGCAACGCGCGATGCTTCGAAAGTAACGATTCGCTCTCGTAATGGGCCAAACAATCGGTACACGTATGCCCAGATAATTGAGAGTGGTTCGTCGCCAAATGTGTCTGTAACTCGCGCTTCAATTTGAACGTTTCCTTACAGTATTCGCAATGTAACACTCCGATGGTCTTGCATTCCCGTTGGTGCGTCGTTTCCTCGTAATTCGGAATCTCCACCTCCGACTTGGCTTCGACCACCGCAACAGAGTCCACCTTCGACTCTGCCACTGACCCTTTCTTCTCTGGCGTTGATTGTATCTTGTCCACTGTGTCCGACTCGAACGTCTCCGTAGACTGCTCCGTCTCTTGTTTCACTGCTGTTGTCTGCGCTTCCTTGACGGTCTCGGTTACAGTTTCAATTTCAATTTTAATGGGTTCGTCCGTAGTCGATTTAGAGTTTCGTCGGGACGGTTGGCAGTTCATTACCTTTAAAACGTCCGCCCAATCGAGTTCCTCGTCGCTACGACAAGTATCCGTGAGCAACGAAAACACTGTAATTCTCTCGACTTGTTCGCCAAGTACCGACAGTTTCTCGTTTCTATGCTCGTCCTTGGGTAACGCTTCCGACTTTTCGACGCCAGTATCGTACATCGAGCTTGAAACCACGTTGTCCAGACGACTGATGCTTTGCGGAACCGACATTGCGATCTGACTCGTTCTGTGGCTCCATCTTTGCCTTCCTCTTGCCCTGCCGGCGTATCCTCGAGTACGCGGTCTACCTCGTCCTCGCCTGAACAAGCCACGAGTGACTTTCGGATTATAATCACCCAACTCTTCCTCCTTCTCCTTTTCCTTCTCCTTCTCCTTCTCCCTCTGCTCCTTTTTCAGATGCTCACCGAGCGAATATAAAGGTTTTCTTGACACGTTATTTGTACGCGCGTTTGGAAACACATGGCGCAACGTATTGTCAGCTACATATATCTGTTGGAAAAACTTGAAAGACTGCTCCAATTTATCTACGCATTCGTCGCACATCTTTGTTGGCAGGGCATCCTCGTCGTCAATTTCTATCAAAAGTTTTAGTTTCGATAGAAGACTCATCTCTGTGCCCTTTCCTTTGCTTGTCATACTTACAAGATTGTTTTTCTTCGTAGCGCAAGTTCTACACCACTGATTAGCTTCGAATTCCGAAGGGCAATTTTTTGCTGAAGTGTGGCTAGCATCTGTACTTTCTATTGAACTTTCTTGGCCATTTGCTTGAACTTTCTACAATTAAGTAGTAAAATTATTACAATGATTTCAACGATGTAACCAATGTTGCAATAGATTTATACAGTATTACTATACACATGATGTGTGTGCGTGTGTGTGCGAGTGTAGATCGCGTATTTGCGTGTGGTATGTACATGCACACATGGTAGTAGTATCATACAAAAATAATAAAGGTAAGCGATTATTTACCCGTTGCGTTTTCACAGTTTTTAACGTCCTCGAAAGGTTGCTCCAATGTGGCGAGGGAACTGCATTTTCTTTTAAAGTGCCTTTGCTGAGATAACAGTCTTCGGTAAAGTGATTGTTGCACACAAAAAATTTCATAGACCGTAAAGCATCCAAATCTTTTCCTATTAGGTCCACGTGACCACTGTTGATCAACCACCTCACACAGAGACTGGTATCACAAACGGGAAGTTCGTGAAGTATTTGCTCCTTTTCACGACTGTCCAAGCAATCGATGTATCTACATTTCGTTACTTCTTCCATTTTTCGAGATAAACTGTATACGAGAAATGTCGTAGAAATGGATTGTAATATTTTTTAACCAAAGGATGCCTTTATTTCTTCGAAAAAGATCACGATACTGCACGCATCCCATACAGGTTAGACATAGTGATGGCGCGAAAAGCAAACTGTCGTTGACTGTACCTGACATCTCTTGTTGTCTGTCAACAACAACGATCGACTTCCGTATCGGCGCGAATTATTCGATTTCCATTTTCCTCGTAATCGAATGTTGAAGAGATGGAGCAAAAAATTGTTTAGCCGAGATATAACCATTGACTGACGAGTTGATCGTTACTTGGACTATTACCATCAAGTTATTGTTCGAAATGAGAATTCTTTCAGGGGCCGTAACATTCGGTAATAAATGTTGCTATAGGTACACGCACCGTATATACTTTCGCCTATAATATTCTATTACTGGCTAAAATTCCCCGACTCGACGTTATATAATGCACTAACAATTGTCAATTTTAACGTTCTTCGTTAAGCAATGCCAATTACTAAGTAAATATTTTATACTTATTACAGAACTGAACAAATCTGTGAAGGCATCTATGAAAAAAACGTGAAGGTTTCCAATCGATTATCAGAGAGATAGAAGACGTATTTATGTACTTACTTACAGACGCCTCGTGCAATGAGATTTTCCGTGTACTCACTATAGGCTATTTCTATCTCGTTTTGTGTCGATACGCGAGTACTTTTAATTCACCATCTTCTTAACTGCAATGTTCAGTAAGTATCTGCTATATAGACACAAAATCCTATTATACGAGACATCTATGTGATCTCAAGATATTTTACGTTTATGGTATAAATTTACATATTTCGAGTATCGGTTCACACTGACAAAGTAAAGAATAGAGAGAAATTCCAGTAGCTGCTTTTCGATTAAATAACGACACTGTTGTGGATAGTTGTCCAGTAAAACTCGATTCAAAAATATCAAGTTTGCACATTTAAATTTGGAATTTGTGCCTTTATCGTTTCGATTGATTTAAATAGAGTGTAGTACGTAGAATTGGCAAGAGGTAACGATAGCGCTACCATCGCGATCGCAATAACTTCACGTAGTATATCGAGGCGCGAAACAAAGTGTGATGCAGCATCGAAAAATATGTCATATTATATTGTTTAGTTAGAAAGTTTGTTGTGAGTCTGTCGTATTGTGACTAAAGGAAAGACTCCATCAGCATTGTACTCATGAAATTGTTCATCCAAATATATTTCTTTTAGCGGGAAGAGGAAAGAGCAAGAAGAAAAGCTAGTAAATCTGTTTCCAGATTTACTATACGCGGTTAGTTTACACGTGATTAGACGTTATCGAATAGGTTTGAATTAGTTCGTTCCGTTATTATCGTCATCAACGAAATGTCCGAGAAAATCGAGCAAGTCGTTGACGAAGAAAATTCTGTCACAATGTTGGACGTACTACGCGAGGAGAATCAATTGGAGGAAGACGCTTGTGCTGTTTTGGGTGCATCTGACGACAAAAACTGTACCTACATCAAGGTTTTTGCTTTGAACTTTATTAACTCTATTAACTTTGTATACCTTCTATATACTTGATATAGTAAGAAGCGGTTCGTGTATACGCTACTCGATCGAATCGTTTGTTAAACTATTTCAGGGATATACACGCCAAGCTCTTTATGCTTGCAAAACTTGTTGTCCACCACAAGTTCGAGCCGCTGTATGTCTCGCTTGTAGTTTCCATTGTCACGAAGGTCACGAACTCGTCGAGCTTTATACCAAAAGACATTTTAGGTGTGATTGTGGTAATTCGAAATTTGGTGGGAAAAAGTGTAATCTGGATTTGGTATGGTTTATACTTTTCGTCTTTTCATTATATCCCTTCCGATCTAACCGTCGATCGCGCATATTTTCACTTTTAGTCTAACTTTTTAAAACCATTTCTAGTCGAAAGATTCTTTAAATGTGGAAAACCAATACAACCATAACTTCGATGGACTCTACTGTATCTGCAAGAGACCGTATCCAGATCCGGAAGATACGATAAATGACGAAATGCTGCAGTGCGTTATTTGCGAAGACTGGTATCATTCTATGGTAAAACTAAGCGTAGTATTTCAAAGTTTCTTCATTTGTTTATCGATAAAACATTCTAACAGCATCTCGAAAGCGAAAGAGGTATGCCAATGGATGGAGCTTACGACGAGATGATCTGTGCCAATTGTATGAGACGAAATAGTTTTCTGTGGAATTACGCGAGTAAATATGCTGGTAATGTTTTCTAGCATACACGATCGTATATATTTGTTCGTTTCATGACGTTCGATCGGACATTTCCTTATCTCGATTGCAGTATTCTCAGTGGCGGATGCTTCGACCGAAGATAGGACAGTTGCCGAATCAGTGAATGTCGACGATCAGCCTAAAGTTTGTACCATGCCACAAGGTAAAACGTTTTCGAAGGGAAGCTGTTTTTGGTCGGAAGGCTGGAGGAGTGTTCTTTGCAAGTGCGAAGCTTGCAGAGCGGTAGGATTCTTTTATATATAAGATCCTTTGAGTCCCTTTCGATCCACGGGTTTGGAACATGTTTCGCTGTTGTAGCTGTATCAGGAGAAAAATGTTACATTTCTTCTGGATCCAACGGACAGTGTCCACGCTTACGAGGAAGCAGGTAAAATCAATAGTCAGGAATCTCAGTACGAGAAAGGTATGAAGGCTCTCGCTTCCTTGGGCCGAATCGAACAGCTGACAGCCATCGAAGGTAGTTTGATTTTAACAGGTTACAAACCGAAAAATTACTCGTCACATCGAAACTCTTCATCTCGCTGATTTTGCTTTTCCTTCCATATTGAACAGAGTATAACAACATGAAGGAACGACTGAAACAATACTTGCAGAAATTCGCCGAGAACAAAAAGGTTGTCCGCGAAGAAGATATTAAGGAGTTCTTTTCAGAAATGGAATCGAAAAAGAGGCCGAAAGTTGTGATTCCTACCTATTGCCGTTGAAGTGATACGAACGCACAGGAATTTTCCGCTTTTAACGCAGTCAATTCTATTTCCATTTTCGCATACGACGCAGGAGATTTGTCTTTATTTCTTGCTGGGCCAACGATCACGGTGCACCTGATATCTCATTATATCTTATTTAATATATATATATATATAAATAAATATATATATATATATATATACATATACATATTACACTTATTTCCGTAGTTTTCAAAAGATTGTAAAAGATTTGTCATAATAAAAGACGTGAGAAAAAGAATATATATATATATATATATATATTTGTATGTTTGTATATTTCTATATAATAAGAGACAATGTACATGCATAATCGATACATAATCGTATAATGGTGAACAATTAAATGTACGCATCATCGTTTATTCGTTGCGGTTCGAATAGTTTGGAGACTCGCAATCAGTTAGGAATGCATCTATAGAGATGTATTAATTTCATTGACTTTACATGGAAGAAGTCGACGATGTGCCGCGGTCGTCTATCTGCAAAGCTATTACCAAAATTGGCTCCGTAGAATTTGGTTTGTCCGTATAAATGGACCACGTTCTTTCGGTACAATCGAAAATACCTGACGAGCACAGATCGAATCGCTTATCAGTATTACTGTACGTGTAACGTGTGTATGAACGGACACGTTGATAAATTTGCGGGAGTAAAGAAAGAGTAGAGAAACGTACCAGTAGCGATTGTTTTGACGTAGTCATCTTGTTTAATTTCTTGGTAAACCCTGTATTGATCGCCAGTCTGATCGCTTAGAATATCGATGACGTCTTGACGAGATTTCGGGGAAGGATGCTTGCAAATCGCTTCCATTCTGTGAATGCTGCTATCTATGATAAGTCCTTCAACTTCCGGTACTTTTAGTCGGAGATATCTGAAAATGGAATTTGTACGTTCTGAGAAGAAGACGCTGCAAAGAAACAGGTAACGGAGCCGCGGGGAGTAGCGCGTGTCACGAAACGGAAACTTTCAGAAGGAAGCGAAGGAACTAAGTATGCACATATAAGTACATAGTGCGCTCACTTGTTACAGTGGAAAGTGTTTTCTCCGGGATTGACGTTCAGGATATTTAGTTGCGATTGTATCGCATCGTTGTCGCAGGGAGCAACCTCGATATTGTAAAACATTCGGTTCCCTGGTTGCGTTAAAAAAGTCATGTTCACCGAAAACCCTTCAGCCGAGCCAAAGCCATCGTTTTTCAGTATCTGTTGAACTTGATCGTAATCGGTCGCACCCAAAAGTGCACGAGCCAAAAAGTACCTGGCTGCGTAAAGAGATTCGAATTGGTTTGTCTGGTCAAGATCGCGTAGAGCGTGAAGCAGCGAACAAAGAAAGAGGGCAAGTAGGGGCGACGCGACGGGCACATTGTGTCCAGTCGGATGTCGGAGCGAGGATACGTACGCGTTTTACCAGACCTTAAGTTTGCAGCGCTCAAAGTGTTGATGGTATAAACGAGACCGTGATGATTGTAACCCATCGTGTATCCTGGCAAAAATCCGGCGTAACTCAAAGATGTGAATTTTTCCTCCTGGTAACCTGGTTCGAGCAGATGCGCAGAAACCAAGTACCAATGATTTAAAGTTTCGCTCAACGCATCCTCGTTGTGACCTAAGATTTCCTGTTTCGGAGCGTGTAAGATGTCGACAGAAGTATGGGACAAAAGGACGTGCAACAACCGATAGACCGCATGTTTCCATAAACTCGACTATTGTTCATTTTCGTACTTTCGCTTACCTGTCCTGGCTGATTACATGAAACTGTGGAACATCCGATAGGTAAGTCTTTTGTCGGGACTTGCGTTTTCGCCGCGTTCAGCACGATGTCATCCAGATGCATTAGAAATAACTACGAAGATGTACAAGGGAATAGGAAAAGCTTTCTCGTTAAAAATACTTTACTCGTGTTCTGCGAAACTCCAAATGCAAGTTGAACGGTAAGAATTCTAAAAGAAGTTGATCTTCAAGTGAAAGTTGCGATTTACTCGATTTACCTTGTGAAAAGGAACGTTCGCTCCATCGGCCGTTCCTTGGATTTCCCTGAGATAACCCGGAAACTGCTGTTCCACACAGCTAAGAGTTTCTTCGTAAATCTTCTTCCCGGCTTCGGTTTCGTACAGCGGCAAGTACGTTTCATTCAGAGGTCGATATATCTCCACGAAGTTTCTAATTATTCCGGAAAATGTGCGCCCCTGACAGAAAATAGAATCGGCGATCTTTATCGTCCTAAACTCAAAAGCAGCGTTAATACCAATAACGACAACGACAATGACAACGATAACGATAAAGATAGGAATAACAATAGAAATAACAATAGATATATCGATCAAGTTCGATCGTATTCCGAGCCAAGATTCTGACGTGTCGCACGTAAGTCGACGCACATTATTAGAAAAACTACA